TCCTTCCCTCTCTCCCTCTTTTCCTTCCCTCCCTCCTTCCCGGATGCTGATGCCCTGGAGCTGGTGGTGATTTCTCAGTGCGGGCATCATGGCAGCAACCTGAGCTCTAGCTTCTTTATGGTTTCAACCCAAACTGTGCTAATTCCCATACCTTTAAGGCCCCTGGTCTCTAACAGATGAACCTAATCAATTATTCACAACAAAGCCCTCCAGGCAATGGCGTTACATATGTAACAGGGGTCAGCAGGCATATTCGTTTCCTAGTGCTGCCACAGCAAATCACATCACCTGGGTAACTTAAAACAACAGAAATGTGTTCTCCAGTTGTGGGTGCCAGGAGTCCAGATTCAGGGTCTCAGCGGGGTTGGTTCCTTCTGGGCCTCTGGGGGAGGATCCATTCCATGCCTCTGTCGTAGTTTCTGCTGTGATAGCCCTTGGCCTTCTGCAGCCCGTTGCTGCATGAGTCCAATCTCTGCCCCATCTCCACCTGCCTTTTTCTCTGTGTGTCTGTGTCTCAACCCCACCCCTCCTCTCTCTTATAGGGACACCAGTCATTGGAGGAGGGTCCATCTTACATTCAGAATGATTGTATTTTGAGATATTTTGTGTTAATTATATCTGCAAAGACCCTATTTCCAAATAAGATCACATTCACACGGCATTGTGTGTGGGGCCTTAGGACTTGGACATATCAATTCAACCCACTACAGCAGGGTATTCTGGGACCCCACAAGTCACACCGCCCCCGCCCCCGCCCTGCAAGTGCAGAGTCCTGGGCCATGTTTGATACCTCACCAATTTCCCTGGAAAAACTTTATGGGGCGATTTTTACAGAAAAAGGAAAATATTTGCAATGGAGGCTCATGTTCATTCATTACTTAGTAAAAATACTTGTAAAAAAAATCATAAAACCCTAGAAAAAGCTGTGGGTCTACGAAGTCCTGGTCTTCCAAGGACTGAGCTGTATCCAAGGCAGGGGAGTTGCAAAGAGGGGCAGTGCTGGGAGCGCTCTGCAGGGGCCTCTGCTCTGCCCCTGTGGAGACAGCTCTCTCAGGCAAGGCTGCTGTCGCCTGAGTTATCTATCCCGAAGCCGCTTTGCTTATTTTTTGCTCTGTTCTTAGTTACCCGATGTTCTTTCGGAAGAGAGATCATCTGCAACCATACTCATAAAGAAGGGAAGAAAGTTCCAAGCTTCTCTTCCCGGGGAGCGGCCAAGGGCAGAGGCGCTGTCTTGCCCTGGCCCAGGTCCCAAGGGCACAGCTTCGCTGTAGCCTGCCTCCTGGGTACTTCTGGACTCATCCTCAACTTCAAACACCTGCAACTGAATGTTAATCTGTATTCATCTGGCTGCTCAAACCACCCCCACACAACTTCCCAGCCTGACTTCTGCCAAGCCAACCTCCCCAGGGCCTTCTCCTCCCCATCCCGTGGCTCTCCTTCTTATCTACACCGGACACATGACCTTCCTGGCCAGCCCTTTTACTGATGAAGAAAGCAAGGCTTACACAGGTGACACAACTCGCTCCCTGTCTCTACCCTGGGCAGCGGGCAATTAGCGGCCTTCCCAAGTCCCACAAGCTGGGTGGTCCCTGTGTGGTCACTGGTTCCCAGGCTTTTGGACCTAGGAACTACTTTGGTGTGGGGAGAGCATCCTAGGAAAACCTCCACTTACTTGCATGGTTGACCCCCAAATTATTGGAGCACTGCCAAGGTGGGGAGCAGCACTTCGGGGCCCCAGGGCAGGATTTGTGCAGCGGTGGGGAGGGTGAGGATGCAGCTGGGAAAGCACCCCAGGCTGTTAGCCAGTTGCTGTTTGCTAGGTATTGTGCTAAGCACTTGCCCCACCTTATCAGCCCATTGTCCGCATGCGGTGTGTCTCCAAGAAGGTAGTGACTTAGCACCTGAGAGGCTGAAGTGGGATTCACAGCTAAGTCTGTCACCAGAGCCAGATGGGCATTGGTACCCTGTGGTACACTGTGGGCGTGTTATAGAGGAGGGGGAAGCCTGTGCCCCACTCTGCTCCCATTGCTTCATGTGTTCCCAAATAACACCCTGTGTGGGACACACCCCTGGGCTGTGCATGGACACCTGCAGAAGCCAGGGGAGCAGGCCTGGCCCTGAGGCTGCTGGGGGCGTGTTCTCAGAACACCACCCCAGCATCACTTTCTGAGAAACTGGTACCACGGCTTCACAGTGAGTGGGAGGGAGGGCCCTCTCACCTGGCCATGCCTCAGAATCACCTCAGGTACTTACAAAAGTCTGGCTCGTCTGGGTCCCACACCAGCGTGGAGATGTGACTTGCTTTCCCAAGCCGCTTTTCTGGAAGGAGTTGTGCAGCGGGCGAGGGATTTATTGCACTGGAACGTATGCTAGCCCAGTGAGGTGGGGGTCACCCTATCATCTGAGTGACAGTGGAGGTACAGAGCTGAGGGGCAGCCAGTGCCATTAGAAGGAATATGATGGAAGGGGACGAGCAGGGCCTTTCTGACCAGAGCCCTGAGTTTAGACCTACGCACATCGCCAGAACCTTAATTTCCTCAAGTGAATAATGAGCACAGTAATCCCCACTGCACAGCAGTGAGGAGCAGAGCCACCTCCAGGCACTGCAAGGATTGCATTCGAGAACCAAATCAAAGAACCCGAGTGGGAGCCTGGCCCGTCAGCTTCTCAGCAGATGATGGCCATTAATTAGAGGCCACACCAGAGGTGGCAGATGGGCCTTGGGTCTAAGCCTTTCACTCCCACAGTGGCTCTCTCCCATCGCACCCACAGAGAACTGCTGAGTCGTCACAACAACCTTAGCCCAGTGTGGCTCCGAGCACCAGACGGACTGTATCAGGGCTTTCTTAGGCGGAGACCCATTCCCCTCCCACTCTGTCCCAGAGGCGGTGACACGGGGCCTGAGCACACGTCTGCCAGGCTGCCTTTCACAGGCTGGAAATAGGGCAGAAAGCTGGGCAGTGTCACCGAAGGAGAGATCACTTGTTCCTGGACTCGGTCCGTGACTCCTATGGTGTCAGAGACAAGAGTTGATTTGAAAGCTGGTGGAAAAATTCCCGATAAAGAGGCACACAGGGCACGCACTCTATGCCAGGAGCTTCTCACATCATCTCATTAATGCTCACCTCCACCCTCCGGGGAGCTGCACCAGCCTCCTGGAGCCAGATCTGTTTGGACAAGAACCACGCCTTGGACTTCATCTAAGGTTTGTTTATCCTTTGGTTCACTCCTGAAACAGCCAATACCCGAGCCATGGAGATGGTCCAGGTATGGGTCCAGGTGAGTAGCTGTGGCTCCTTCTGCCTCCCTTGGTGCCTGTGAGGTGGGTGGAGAGGACTGTAGGCTTCCTGCCTCATCCGCCCTCAGTTACATCAGCACCAGGAAAGACTGTCTCCCACATAGACGACACTGCTACTCAGAATGTCACCTCACTTGGGCCACATGTTGGGGTTTTGGACCGTGACCCCGTTGGAGCAACCTTCCCTGGTCTACCCCTGGGCTGCGGGCCTGGTTTCCCAGGGGCAGGCTGGGCTGGACTGGAAGAATCGCTGTTCTCAACAGCTGTTGACCATGTGCTCCCCATGGCGCCCCATCCCCTACGGTCAGATTCTGTGTTTACATTTTACATGGCAGGCATGCCCACCACAGCCACACTGGTGCCCTCCTTGCTGCCCCCTTCTCCCACTGCAGCACTGGTCGTGCCTGAGGCCACCTGGGGTGTGGCATCTGAACCACGACCTGCACTTGAATGATGGTTCTTAGTTTATTCACCAGCGGAGTGATCTTGGGCAAGTCAGTCTAACGCCAAGGCCTGCTCTTCTGGGGTGAGGCTGAACTGTGTCTAAGGCAGGGCACAGGCTTTGGAGAGCACTGACTGCTGCCTGGCCTCAGAGTTTCTCCTCAGTCCCCGTCAGCCCCAAGATCATCACCTGCAAAATGGGAAATCTCATCTCCTGGGGAGGACTGCGCGACTGAAGGGGAACATCCGGCAAGGAGGGTCTGACAGCTGACAGTTCTCGCTTTTTCTTTTATTACTTTTCAACAACCTACATCTTCCAGGGTCAAGCTCTAGTCTTTCTTCTCTGCAGCCTAACCTTGCCCACCCCGTCCCCCAGGTCCTGATCTCCCTTACCCTGCTCATTTTTGCCTGCCCAGCTGCCTGTGGCCAAGCTTCCCTTGGGCCTTCGGGAATGCCCGTGGCAGGTGCACATGTCATTCCTTGCTCACTGGCTCTGGAAATGAGGACTGGTTGGACCTGAGACAGACCTCAAACACGGAGCACTGACTGCTGCCTGGCCTCAGAGTTTCTCCTCAATCCCCGTCAGCCCCAACATCATCACCTGCAAAATGGGAAATCTCATCTCCCGGGCAGGACTGCGGCGACTGAAGGGGAACATCCGGCAACGAGGGTCTGACAGCTGACAGCTCTCACTTTTTCTTTTATTACTTTTCAACAACCTACATCTTCCAGGGTCAAGCTCTAGTCTTTCTTCTCTGCAGCCTAACCTTGCCCACCCCGTCCCCCAGGTCCCGATCTCCCTTCCCCTGCTCATTTTTGCCTGCCCAGCTGCCTGTGGCCAAGCTTCCCCTGGGCCTTCGGGAATGCCCGTGGCAGATGCACGTCATTCCTTGCTCACTGGCTCTGGAACTGAGGACTGGTTGGACCTGAGACAGACCTCAAACACCTGTCAACCCTGCTTTCCTCCGAGCAGGAGGCTAGCAATGTTCCTGACAGGGGCTGAAGTACCTGCAGACTGAAGCCTCTGCCAGGCCCCTGAAGGGCGCGCTGGAACTGGGAGGGATACGAGGTGGGAAAGGACACTCCTATAGCCGTCCGCCTCCCCGCAGGTGAGTGCACTCTGGGCCTGGAACAGGTGGAACTGCCTGCCTCACTCCTGGCAGAGGACCAGGGACGGGACAGAGCTCAAACACTTCCAGACAAAATCTTTAGAAAAAGAAAGTGAGATTGGAAGTGTAAATTATTTCAAGGAACCAGATTACCAAAGACTTAAGTAACAAATGCAGTTTTAATTGGTCTATAGATAAAAACTACTCCGCAAGGTGAGTAACCATTTCCGCTCCTAATGTTAGAGCCGTATCCTGGACATGTTCAGGGAAGAAGGTTAACTTCATTATTTCACTTCATCCGTGGTATTAGAAAAACAAGGCATGATTATCAGTTTAGATGACATGCGTGGCTGGCAGCCAAACCCAGTCCCTACATTCCATATTTTTTCTTTAGTTCTTCTACTTTGTTGACGTACGCTTTCATGGCATCTTCCTTGGACGTCCCTGTAAGGAATCAACAGATTGTCTGTCAGAGGCAGCACGAAAGTTGAGCGTCAGCCTCAGAGCCCCTGACAGCTCTGGTTTAACACTCCGAGGCTGTTTCTCACCTGCAAAGGGCGGGCCCTACTCCCCAGACCTCGGAGACCTAGCCGGGATCTGACGAAGAACTCGAGAAGCCCCGCAAGGTGAGTAACCATTTCCGCTCCTAATGTTAGAGCCGTATCCTGGACAGTGTTCAGGAAGAAGGTTAACTTCATTATTTCACTTCATCCGTGGTATTAGAAAAACAAGGCATGATTATCAGTTTAGATGACATGCGTGGCTGGCAGCCAAACCCAGTCCCTACATTCCATATTTTTTCTTTAGTTCTTCTACTTTGTTGACGTACGCTTTCATGGCATCTTCCTTGGACGTCCCTGTAAGGAATCAACAGATTGTCTGTCAGAGGCAGCACGGAAGTTGAGCGCAGCCTGAGCCCCTGACAGCTCTGGTTTAACACTCCGAGGCTCAGTTTCTCACCTGCAAAGGGGGGCCCTACTCCCTACACCTCGGAGACCTGGCCGGGATCTGACGAAGAACTCAAGAAGCCTGGCCCACAGAGAACGCTCAATGCTCCATAAAGCACTGAACCAATGTGTGTGTGGCTGTCCTGAGGCCTGCCAATGGCCTGCTGGCCTTGTGAGTCCCCCACTGTCGTGAGTAAGGGGTTAGTCTGAGTCTTGGGCAAAGGCGGGGCCCTCCCGACAGGCAGGAGAGCCGCACCTGGGGAGCCGCAGTGGCCTTACGGGTCCTGCTGACTTCCCGGTTTGCTTTGGCCTATCAAGTATTTCTCTGTTGGGCTCTTAACTCCCAGAGCTGTTAAGCTGGTGGTGAAACAGCAAAGCCAAGCACCCTTTTCTCCCCAGAGAGAAGCTACGAGAAAAGTTTTGAGAACTCTGAGCAAAAGCAGCTGGCTCTTGGAGGGGGATGAGGCCAGTTTTTGCCTTCTTGCTGCTGTGTAAGAGACACCGACTATGCTAGTATATTCCTCAGAGACAGTAACACCTACTTTCCCGGATCCACGTGAAGGAGAGAGACCTGCTGGAAATCGGAGCGTGTCTGAAGCACTGAGTGTGTGGGGCCTGAGGATGGCATGGAAATGCCCATGGAAATGGACAGTCGGACGGGCATTCCTGTTCCAGTTCCTTCAAATCCTAGGAGTGTTTTTATTGTATTCTGGTCCTTTTTGAGTTCAAGTGTTTCTCATTTGCAGGGAGACAGAGGGCTTATTCAGAAGCTAGCTACAAGAACAAAAAAGCTGGCAGGCACGTTAGTGCCAACTTTTAGGTCTTGCTAGTGCAGGTGGCACGTGATTAAGTCGGAGCTGGGACACTTGGCTGCTGTTGCTTAGCGTAGAATAGCTCCATTCACTGAGCCTACGAGTGCCAGAGGCTTGCCATGCATTAGCTCATTCCTTTCTTTTTGTGCCTTTCTGGCTGGAAGGGAACTGGGGAGGGCTGCTTGGGCTACGGGGTCACTGCCTGGCCTTGTGGGGGAGAGGAGTTGTGGGCAGCAAACCTCCCCTAATTCTGAGTATATATAAGTCCTCGCCAACTATATCGACTTCTAATCTGTTTCTCAGTGGCCTGGCCCCCGTCCCTCCTCTCCAGATGACACCACGACTTGGAGATGGTGCTTTTGGAGAAGGCATTACTGGTATTAAGAGAAAAAGTAGGTGGCCCAGTTTTTTTCCATTCCGACACAGGTCAAGCTGTGTCCAGCCCGGGCCTCACCCACTCCGTTTTCCCTCCTCACCCCTTGCAGGCCGTCATCAGGAGGATTTCATTACCGGGCTTCACAAATGAGGGAAAGGGATGAGAACAATTACCTTTCAGCTCATTCCAGGCATCCCACTTGGCCTTGCCTTTGAGGTCCAACATCCCAGGCCGTTCTTCAACAAGAAAAGGGAAGACATTAGGTCTGCTTCCAGTTCCAAAGGAAAACTTTAGCAGCTTTCTTGCCATGAAAGGCATCTTTATCACACCAATCCCTTCTACACTGTCATGAAGGTAAACGGCTGAGAACAGTGTACAGAAATACAAACTTAAAATCCAGAGAGAGTATAAGGGCAACTGCTCCCATTACTAGAGGGTCCTTGTCTTCAAAGTTAAGTAACTCCCAAACGTCTCCTTTTAAAAATTGCACTTTAAACAATACTATGAAGTTTCCCCATTTCTGTCTCATGCATTACTGTTTAGTTTTCTGAGTGTCCTTTTCTGTGGGCTGCATGTTCATACCCTTGCCCCATTTTCCACCAAATCGTTAGTCTATTTCTTGTTGATTTGTGGGAGATTTTTCCTGAGAGCAACGTTTCTTTAAGTCAGACCATGATTTTATGCTCTGTTGATTTGTGGGAGATTTTTCCTGAGAGCAACGTTTAAGTCAGACCATGATTTTATGCTTACAGACTTATCAGTTGCACTTGGGAAACACACTCACGAGTTCCCTGCTGACCTCTTCCCTGCCACGCAGAGAACCAAGCCAAGGGGAGCAACCACGGTGCCCACAGCCTGGACCCTGTGCCAGAGGAACATCACGCCTTCCTAAGTGCTTTCTGGGAAGCATTCCCGGAGGTACCTGGGAGGAACTGCACCCGCAGTCATCAACTGAATTCTAGAGCAGCACCCCCCCAGCGGCCCCTCTGTGATGATGGAAATGCTGTACATTTGCACCGTCCAACTTGTCACTTGTGTCACTTGGAGCTCCTGGAATAGTGGCTTGTGTGACTGAAGACTGAACTTTTGATTCTACTTAATTTGAGCTATCTTCAGTTTAAATTTAGATAGCCACGTGTGGCTAGTGGCTACTGTACTGGACTGTGAAACCTGAGAGTGTGCTGGTACCTCCCTGACCGGGAAGTTACAGATTCCCAAGCCAGCCTACCTGCCCTCACGTGAAAGCAGGGCAGGCCCAGTCTCTGTGAAAACACTGCTTGGCTGAAGAGTATCTTGGTGGCTCTAGCCACCCCCACTTCATCTCTCCACCCCCTTCCCAGGAGGACACAGCTTATAAACCCAGCATAAAACTCACCTCCACCACGAGACCTTTCTCAACTCAGCCCTCCCTGGGAACCCATGTTCGATTTGGCATTGCACCAGATCCCTACCTCTGGGCACTTCGGCATCCAGGAGGCTCGCAGCCAGCCCACCTGCTCCACCTCCAACCCAACTGCAGTGGAATTGGGGGCCCACTCACCCTCCTGATCAGAGAGGGGAGGGGGTAACCTCATTTTGTGGTGCCATGGCCACCACCTCCGAGTCCTTGCATGGACTGAATCATGCCACTGCCTAACCCATTTCTCTGCCTCATGCATTACTGTTTAGTTTTCTGAGTGTCCTTTTTTGTGAACTGTATGTTCATACCCTTTCACCATTTCCCCCCCCCGAATTATTAGTCTATTTCTTATTGATCTGTGGGAGATTTTTCCTGAGAGCAAAGTATACACCTGAGAATCAGGGACTTTGGGGGCAGAATAAAAACTGGCCGAGGCAGGAAAGGCAGTACTATGGAATACGTTAATTCAAACTATGGCCTCAAAATCTGTACTAAGACTTTTCAACAGGGAATGGTCACCAGGAAATGTTTCAGCAAAAAGGCTCTGACCTGTCCCAGGAAGCCAGCTGCTTCTCTGCTCCTGATTTAGGCTTGGTCCCCTGCCAAGTGCGCGGAGACTTTGATCTTGCCCGTTTAGGGTGGAAGCACTATGCTTCAACAAAGCTACTCGTGAGCTGAGAGTTGAGCAAGTCTCTTCCAAGCTGGGGGCCTTCACCACCGCCCAAGAAGATGGGAAATGCTCTTGATCAGTAAAGTCTAGGATTTGAATTCTCTACCTGACCTACCAAGAACCAAGAACAGTGCAGGGTCTGTACACCCAATCCAGGAACATGATCTCGGGGAACCTCTCCCGGCTTACACCCTAGGAACGTCATAAAAGTTACCATCCCACCCAAAGAGTTCAGAAGGTTTTGAGCGAGGTTCCCACAGATTAAGAGTCCCAGCACCCATCGAGGCTGCTGAGTCTGCTTGGCTGAACAGGGGCCCGCCCCCCTTCGTCTCAGCATACCTGTATTTACGTCACCCACAGTCGCCTGTTTGTAGCGGCTGTAGATGAACAGCATCTCATCGTCTGCTGGCTTGGTCTTGAGGTTCTTAACATCCTCGGCAGCTTTGTCAAACTCAGCCTAAATGCGAGAGAGAGAGGAGAGGCCTGAATGGAGCTCGGTAAGGGGATGGAGGAGTTGCAGAGGCAGCACTCCTGTAATGCAGGTGAGGGAAAGCAGCTCCCTCGCAAGTGTGTCCCCTCCTCCCCACAACCGGACAGCTAGAAAGATCCAGCAAAACAAGGAGGTGGCTCACAGGCTCCCTTATCTGATAACTACATTAAGAAAGCTCTCATACACCGGGTGTCAGGTACTGGAAATAGCGTGGGAAGGAGAAGGCTAAGACTGCCTGCAGCGGGAGTGTACTCGGCAGGAAAGGCGCATGGCCACCTGCCTGGGCAATACCGGGTCGCCCTGGGGATGGCTGAGGTCCCAGTGAAGCCCTGACCTGGGACAGGGGTGGCTAAAACAGCTGAAAAGGGGACAGGGCATGAGTACAGCAGGGTCAGGGCCTGAGTCAGTTGGCCCCCTTCCCCCGAGTTTGGGGCGTCCAGCGCCAACCTCTGTCCCAGTGCCGGACTGGAGAGAGAGAGGAGAGGAGCCAAAGGTCGCCCAGCACAGCTCGGTCTCGGAAAAGCGGCTACATTCAAGGGAGGGGAAGGCCTCGGGGGTCGCCTCTCCCCCGGCGCACCCTCCCCCGGCCGCACGGACACTCGGCCCCTACTTCTGACCTCCAAGCTCTCAGCCACGGTCTCCTTGCTTCCCTTCTCCGCCCTTACTCATGTCCTGTCCTTCCGGATGGGGGACTCGGTCCCTTTCTCCTTCCAGCCATGCAACCCTCTATCTCTCCTCTTTCTACCTCGGACCCTCGCCTCCGATCCCTATCCCTGCTTCACCGCGAAGTCCACTCGATGGGCAACTTGCCAGCAGTTGCAGGGTGGATGGCGGTGTAGGGAGCCCCAAACCGAAAGTTCCGCTATCAAGGCTCTGTCCAAAGGGTCAGGGCTGGGCACGGGTCCAGGAGGCAGAACGGAGCCGGGAAGAGAAAGACCTTCCAGGGTTCTGCCTGCGGGGTGGTCCCCACGCCGGCTGCCCGCCCCGCTGCCCTTTCGCAGCCCCGCACGTGTCCTACCTGAGACATGACGGCGGGTAGGTGCAAGGACTTAGGAACTGGCGGACGCGGCGAGGAGCTGGGAGAAGTAGCGCAAAAGCAGTCTGGCAGCGCCTTTAGAGGCGCAGTCGCAGGCCTCCCCAGCGGGGCTCGGGCGAGCGAGCGGCAGCCAATCAGAAGCCAGCTCTGCGCGAGG